ATAATCTATTTGAAAACATTTAATATTCCTCAAATATTTTGCTACGGAACGGTAAGTTCCAGCAATATGCCTTAAGGCACGATGCCATACACCACTAGTTGGCATTTTCGACAAACTGTAAATATATTTATAGCTGATGATGTCGTTAGCTTTTTCTAAAGTTTCATTCGAACGCAATCGTTACAAGGAAATAATATAAACTGTTTTTCTAAAATTTTGTCATATGTGAAGTAAAAAATGGGAGTATTTATTAATTTTTACTTACCCACGTTGGAAGTTGCGGCACATGTATGTCTATGTTCCGGCAGTCAGTAACCAGGGAGCTCGGATAATTGCGCCATTCCACTTGATTTTCACTTTTTATTCGCGTATTTGTTAAAGATCTACAATTAGTTAATTAGAAGAAATAATAATTAGATGGCATTAATCTTAATGTATTTACAATCACTGTTGTATATTTTTACTCACAGTAAGAAATTTATACTCATTGTTGTAGATTGATAATCACTATTTTAGATTTATTACACTCACAGTAGCAGATTTGCTACACTCACAGTAAACAATTTACTACACTCATTTCAATAGATTTGCAATGACTGTAATAGATTTACACTCATTGTAGTAAATTTACTACACTCATTGCATATATATATATATATATATATATATATATATATATGATTTAGTAGTTAATTTTGATGTTGAAATATATGAGTGAGTTCTTGAGGCGATACATCAAACAAAGAAAAGCCAAAGATTTATAAAATAATCTTTATTTCCAAACGTTTCGACATTCAATTTAATGTCATCATCAGTGGATATTACGTTGGTTGGTTACATATAGAGAAGTGTACACAGCACTAGAGATTGGCACTAACATTACATGCCTCGGTACTAGCAAAGTACAGAAGTCGTGGCAGAAATTACATAATTCTACTTACATTTTTGTTCAATAAAACTATCATTTTTCTGTTTACATCATACAAAAAAATTATATAAAAAATGCATAGTGCTGACAAGTTAGTTGTATAAATGTTAGTGCCAATCTCTAGTGCTGTGTACACTTCTCTATATGTAACCAACCAACGTAATATCCACTGATGATGACATTAAATTGAATGTCGAAACGTTTGGAAATAAAGATTATTTTATAAATCTTTGGCTTTTCTTTGTTTGATGTATCGCCCTCAAGAACTCACTCATATATATATATATATATATATATATATATATATAGAAAATAAAAAAGTGTATTATTAACAAACAATTCAAACTAAGTACTATACATTTTCTTTGATTTTCGTCAAACTGATTTATTCAGAGATTTATAGCTGATTATAACTTTAATATTTCTAAAGCTTCTGCCTATATAATTAATAAAATCAAAAAATATGTTATTAATTTTGCTTATTCACATTGCGGCTTCGTGGCTTGAAGTCTCCATATAAATTGATAGCTATACTATGTTATTGACTGAATTTTGAATATATAATTACGATAATTATTTCAATTCACTTCTGACTTTGATATGGCTGATGTCGAAACACAATTTTACTCTTGTAAACTACTCTAATGACAGTTTTACTGATAATCTGCAGGTATCAAATAACTGTACTATAACGTTTTATAAAAAAAAAACTATTAAATTTTTTATATATGAAAATTATAGACAAACGCGTGTATCTATTTTCTTAAATGATTTATTTTGATATATGGATCAAAATATTATACAAAATTAATTTGAATTATTATAATTAACATATGAACAAACTATGAAAAGCTACTGTTAGACTTATACTCTCAATAAGTTATTTTTCACTACACAATTTGGCAACTTTTTACTGATACTTGTAATAAATGTTAAGGCACATAAAGCAATACACATCTTATTATAGCCATAAATCTAATATATACACTTGGCTATATAAAAAATCGTATCTTAACTGGATATAGCAATACAGTCTTAATTATCTTCATAATTGTTAATAATGAATTGAAAATAATATGCCGCATAATCGACAAGCTTGCATCGCGTCAAAAAATTTAATTAGAACTAAATATTGGTATCTGAAATTGTAAGATAAATTTGTTCTCCAGATACACTGAAACTGCACAAGCTTTTCATTGTAAGTATTGTGATTATAAATTTGATCATGTATAGTTAAAATATTCTAATTATCTGAATAGTTTAAAAAAATATATAATATATAACTTGCAAAATACTTCTATGTGTTACAGCTTAATAAGCATAATAAAATTTTTCAATCGTGTTATAGCTAAAATTGTCCAACTAATATATAATCTTTGAAAGAATTTGAAAAGTTCGAAATTTTTTCTAAGAACTACCAAGTTGTATATAAAAAAATTGTAAAATCATGTGACTGGCTTTTAAAATGTTTCGATAAAGAATTCAAAGCAAAGCAATTAAAAATCACAGAATGACATCCTAAAATTAAATATTTTACATATATACACTGTACAGCTCACAGCCTATTGAAATGTCTGGTGTAACAATATCGATCTGAGCCTTTTGTTATGTATTTAAAATAGCATTTAATGATGTACGTTGCTGTATTAAACTTTTGTCATGGCTAGTCAGTAATTCCTCATCTGCAGATAGCAAATCTTCACTTTCTGAATCTACTTCTTTAGTTTTTCTAATAGATCGATATTTAACCTACAAGTGAATAATAAATGAAACTATATTGATGATAAAATATATAAGACTTTCTTAATCATTTCAGCTTTTCACCAAATTTCCATAGATGATTTCAACATTTAATTTTATGGTTAAACCTGTGAAACATCAATAAACCTTGGAATTGTGATAAAATTCAATAATGAAAAATTTAAAACAATGAGAAATTGAGAGGATTTCGAGAATGTACACAAAAAGTTTCAGTCAAAAATAAGAGTAATTTGAGAAATATGAAAATCTATGTACATATTAATGTTCTATGCAAAAATAATAATTAAAGCACATAATTTATATGCATGAAGATAAATGAAATTGAATTAAAACAATCAAATGATGAGGGGCCTTATTAAAAACATCATCCACCATACACTCAAAGACCAAGCCAAAACAAAAATAAATAGATCAGCAATTTCTATACAAGTCACTGATGCTTGTTCATTTTCACACATATTGCATATTTTAAAGAAAAAAAAAAATTATGAACGATAAATAAGGCCAAGAAAAGGTTTTAAGTACAGACTCTTTAAATTATTACTATCTATATTTACAACAAATTGTATTGAAAAAAAAAAATTAAGCATTTGACTGATATTAGATTAATGCACTATGTAATAAAATAATATTAAATGAAGTTATTATGTGTTCTAGCAAAAATGTATTTCACAAAAATATTTATATATCCACAACCACACATTCAGTTATCAAAGCCATCCATAACTTTTATTAGCATGCTTTAGTAATATTAACGAAACATAACATCTTTAATCAGGTACCATATTAGTGATCATGCATTAAAGTTCTAATTCACAACTACCTTCACTCTTTGCAGCAGACTTTGCTCAGCTAAAGCGTTTCGACCACGTCTCGAACTATGACGCATTAAGAAGTTGTCAGTAACCCAAAACATTAATATCTAAAAATATTAAACCATGTAGATTAAATTACTTAATGTCTTGTTAATTAATAAAGAAACTTACATTTACAAAAAATGGTATAACCAACATAACAACAGCAAGTTCAACTTTGGGATTTGATATAGGTGACAATATAAACATCCGGACTTTGTCCCAAAAGTCTAACTGTATCAGAAGTGTTATACTAATTTTGACAATTATCATAAGTCCTACATATACACAGCACTGTGACAACCATGCATTAATTGATGGTGGTTTTCCTAAAAAAAAAAATTATATATCAGTATTCTATTGAAATTTATTAGATATAATTACACTAAATAAAACTTTTACTCCTGATACTTACCATATTCCCCAAAATTTATAGACTCCCATCTCTTTGCTCTAGCAAGGTATTGTGAAATACGAATTCCTATATAAATAATCAGCAGGCCAATAGAAGAATCCAGTAAAAAGTTTATAATGTACCTAATAATATAACAAAATTGCATTAACCATATACAAGCGATACAGATAATAATAGTTTTCATAAATATTATATTCACCAGGTGCATGGATCTCCTTGAAATTGACCCGCTAAATAAACATTGGCTAAATGTATGACTAACGCACCCATACCTTGCTTGCTAGTATCATAAAACCAAATTATCCATGGTCGTCTTTCAAATCTTGGCTCACAAAAACGTTTTGCTGTAAATGTGTAAATACATTCATAATAGTAATCATTGACAGTTATAGCCAGAAAAATCATGCTTATATAGTTACCAATGAGACATGTGAATGCTAAACAAGCAAGAAGCACTTGTAGAAACCAGCCGAACATATCTGTCAGGGCATCTTTGCTACAATGCAAATTGGACCATTGTGGCCCATTTTGCAGTATGGAGTCAGTTTTATTTAGGAAAGAAGTTTGCATGTTTATAAGTTATACTTTAATCCCAAAATTCACATATTTATAATAAATGTGATGGAGCGCAAAAATTTATGTAGAAGTAATTATGTGAAATAGTGACTTTAAATATAACATCATTTGTATAAAGTGAAATTGTTTTAATATAAAACTTCCGAATTTAAAAAAGAAAAATGAACTGTCAAAAATCTTGCACTTTGAACTGTCAAAAAAGTCATGGCCTTTGTATATCATGGGCACGGGTTACCACGTTTGTAGAGAAAACGTCATGCATTATTTTTTTAATAATATATTTAGCGTATTAAAATATATCTGCTATAGATAACGTTTTTGAATGAAATAACTTTGATTAATTTAATAAAATTCATTATTTATCTCCAATGATATAAAAATATAAAATTTTAATAGTGCATTTTTTTATTATCTGGCAACCCTGAAGAAATTGTTCGCAATCGCATATCTACAGGAAATTGCCTTTGGATTTCCTTTTTACCTTACCGCTGTCGTCTGCGGTCGTATTCTTGATGAGAATATTTATTTAAATCTTTGTACATCAATTTTGTACATATATCTATAATTAAGGCAGGCTTAAATAAATAAGAAAAATGCCTCCAAAGTTTGATCCAACAGAAGTAAAGATCGGTATGTGAAAGTATTCCAATATCGTTTATTATTAACTTTCCACAGTATGTTTATCTATTTACATTATATTAATTTTAGTGTACTTGAGATGTGTCGGAGGAGAAGTTGGTGCTACATCATCCTTGGCCCCCAAAATTGGTCCATTGGGTCTGGTAAGTTTAATAAATACAAATTTGTCAACATAACCTAAATTTGACAGCATAACGTAGCATGCTATATTAAAATATTTCTGGGTACTAATTCAAATAAAATTCTAGTCTCCAAAGAAAGTTGGTGATGATATTGCTAAGGCTACCGGGGATTGGAAGGGTTTGAAAATTACTGTTCAGTTGTCCATCCAAAACAGGCAAGCAACTATCTCAGTAGTACCTTCAGCTGCCTCTTTAGTTATTAAAGCATTGAAGGAACCCCCTCGTGACCGCAAGAAGCAAAAGAACAGTAAGTACATTTATATAAAAATCATTTTAAGCTTAGATTTTATTTTCAACTTAGGTTAGGGCTCAATTTGCATATTGCTTCATTTGACATTGTTATTAGAAACATTAGTTTTTTCAATTTCTTCAATTTTATTTTTCTTACTATTCCGTACTTATCTTACATTCTTTTACTTGGTACTTTATAATTACTTTACAATGTGCCCTAATATATGCTGTGGAAGTTAATGCTTATGTTGTGTTGATCTTGGTTTCTATCTAATGTTTTTAAAAATAGAACATTTATGGAATTAATAGTTTCTTAAATGCAGTTCGAACAGTATTTGGTGAAGTGTTTCATAATAAGTTTCATGAAGAATAAATTGTTATATGTGATGCCATATACCATTGTTGTTTTCTAGTTAAACACAATGGCAATATCACTTTTGATGACATAGTTGCGATTGCCCGCCAAATGAGACCTCGTTCCATGGCTCGTGAATTATCAGGAACGATCAAAGAGGTTTTGGGAACAGCACAAAGTGTAGGATGCACCATTGATGGCAGGGCACCACATGACTTAATAGATGACATAAATGATGGAACTCTTGAATGTCCTGCTGCCTAAATAATACAATAATATTGTACAAAATACCTATGTGGTTTTATTTTATTTCTTTGTTTCAAAATTCATATTTTTTGAATTTTGGATTACTTTACATAGCATTGTCATGCTTGTTCTTGGAAACTGTATTTTAATTAGATATATATTCTGATCTTTCTGAAAGATTGAGTTCAAGTTTTAAGTTTTTCTTCGTGTTGAAAGTTTTCTTACTTTTTATCAACTCTGCTTGAAATTAATCACTCAAAATGTGAATGCAAAGTGTTTCTTTTAGTTTCAAACCTTTTCCTTCTTTGCATGTGATAAAACCAATAGCTTAATTAACAAATAAATTAATGTTTGCTGGCTTGTGTTACCATTTACAATTGTTAGTTTGTTAGTCGGGGTAATAATGTTAATGAGTGACAAAAAAATTTTGGTAGCATATTTTTATAGCAATCTCTAGTTTTGCATTGCAATAGGTTCAGTACATGAATTGTCATTTACTTATAAAATTTACCATCTTTTTACTAGCTGCCCACAAAATGTTCGGACTCATTGCTACAATGTTTCAAATAGACAAAAATTAACTTTTTGCAGAATAAGTTTATATTTACAGAAAATCCTATTTGGTTATTTTGTATGCATGGTAGTTATATTTCAAATGATTTTCATAACTTATATTGATTTATCGATATATCGATTGTGAAACAGTGTTACTTATTATTAAACAGATTAAGTCAAAAAACTTATATGGCTGATTGGACATCAATCCAAATCTCTTAAGAATTAGTATTAGTCTGCAAGAATTGTCTCTTAAATGTATTAGCCTACAAAACTGTAACTATTCCAATCTGGAGCTCTGATCATAGATAAACAAGTATAAATGGTTCTGGCATCTTTGGGGCTGCAGCAGCTAATCTAACATCGCCATCGTTTAGCATTGCCAATCAAAAGTACTTCGGGTAAATTACAGGTGCTCCCTGGTTCGCTTACAATCAAACTCTTCATGAAAATTTAAATATACCTTTAAAAAAATATGTTATCTAGACTTGTGTCAAGTCTCACCTCTCAAACATAGAAAATCACATAAACTCAAATGTTTCTTTTTTACTTTCATCAAATAACAATTACAAAAAATGACCTATGGACCACCTTCCTAATATCATATAGTATGCCGTTCTTTAGAACGAGAACTATTGCATAATATTGATTTGTATTTTATAATAAAATGTATCACATTAACTTATTGAATACATTGTATTCAGATTGTTAATACATATAGTAATAATAATAGTATTACTTATTGATCAGACCACATATTTCGACCGTTGGTACAAATCAATTCTGATGCTCTCCTTACCTTACATATACAACGAATTTTTACGTATTTGAAAAATGTTATATTTAGAAAAATAATTTTGCTCGTTGAATAAAAAAAACACAATATTTTAGTGTAATGAAGCAAATAATAAAAACCGTTTTACTCAAAACGGATATTAATTGGAATGGATATCAAACAAGAAAAAAAAGATAAAGTGTAAATATGATTTAGTAATATTTTACTGTTTTCACCAAATAAATCTAAACGAGTAAAATAAATGCATATGCAATTGATGTATCTTAATGAAAACGAATTTCGCGGATAAATCCTGATAAGAAATTTATTATCAACATCAAAACTTATTTGCAGTGTTTTGTTAAATAAATTCAGTATACTCACAACATTTAATTTCGGTTGCATTGAATTAGCTGAGTAAAAAAATTTTTAAACCCTAGAAAATAATAAATTATTGCCAACTAGTGATCAATATAGCTACTAAATCGATTAGTTGCTCATGGGATCTTATTGAGGATGGACGTTCGCACGTGGTTAACACGCGTTGATTCATTCTTTCAATGCTTGTGCAAGAGTTATCGAAGTTAGTGTTAGAATAACTGTTGTTTTAAAGGAACAATTGTGTAATTAAAATAATTGTAAAAATTCAGTGAAAGGGGTTTTTTAATTGCTTTATCGAAAATGTTCAAAGAAATTTGAGTTTTAAATTATAAGTAACGCTTTTTTATTCCACTTATTTCGGTTTTCGGTGGATATTTGGAGGATATTTATCACCATTGATGTTAAACTTTCTACAATTATTATTTCTTCCTTAATATTTAATCCATCCGCAAATATATTTTGTGAACCTACCATATATATGTTGCTTAATTGAGAACATATCGCTTCTACAATGATTTTCAATTAAAACTGGTTTTGAACTTGTATTTCTGAATTAATTAATTTGTTTCCCAAGGATTTTGTTCTATTAAGCACGTGCTAACATGTGACGATTTTGTGTTTATGTGATTGTGTTTAACATGAAGAAGAAGAAAGATGCTAAAGCACCGTTTGGCCTTATTAATTAGGTAATTAAAAAAATAATATTTGTATTTTAAAACTAAATGTTAATTGATCTTGTATGCGTAAATAATACTTTACTAACGTGAACAAACTTTTTATCGTTTATGTATAAATTACTATAGGAAAAATTAAACACAAGAATATATATTATATATACATTGTATTGCCATTATTTATTACCATTAATTCCGATTTTTCTCTGGGATATTTTTTTCGACTGAAAAGAAAGACTCCGTTTTGTGCTTTCAAAACGTTAATAAAAGATTTTTTTTTACTATCAATACAAATTTGGATAACAAATAATACTAAATTAATTAGACTGATATCTACTATTCTATTGATCAAATAATTCGGTTGAAAATAACTTAATTAATTCCTCGTGCGAAGCAAATAAGAAATGTATTGCGTTTTTACTTTTTTAAACATTTTTTTTAATTTTGTATCGCATAATTTAAAATTTAATTTAAAATCGCAAAATAAAATAAAGCGAACAGAAATATAAATTTGCTAGTATTGTAAAAAAATACTACAACAAAGATAATAATTAATTTTCATACTTATTTTCCTGTTTAATTTTGATATCTCCTATTTTTGTTATAAAATTGACTGAAACAGTTAATCGAAACGGTGATAAACAAAACGCAGTAAATAATTATTGTTTGAGAATGACTTTGTTTTCCAAATTTATTTATATTATAAAACACATATACGAGTATATACCTATTACCAAGGTGGAATTGATTCATAACACCATATTTAGACAGGTGCTCCTAATAATATTTCTAAACAATGCTGGATCACTTTGTTTATATATCAGTATCTTCAAACTGATTACGTTATAGCTATCTCGCATATATTATTATTTAGACTAGGAAAAATAATATTTTCTTACTTTCATTATTTTGATTAATTTTATTAAAACTGCATCTGTAATGTTTCAATACATTGAACCACTTACAATTTATTTTCATATAAAATTTATATGAAAAAATCAATAGATTCAATGATGCAATTATGAATTGACTTTAAGTGTTCAGTGATTCTCAGTTTTCATAACATTCTCAACATTTTTATTATTTTATATCAATTACTTGCAAATTTTAACGCATTATCATAATATTGATTTCAAGTTTTTTTATTTCGAATTCACATTAATTTATCTTTATATCATTCATTGTTCAATCTAGAACTCTTTTTTCTCAGCCTATTACATTTTATTATGTTTATAGTAAAAAAATACAATTATATCCTTTACACTGAAATAAAAATTTAATGTGTAAAGTTCGTAAATCTCGTAGTATCTTTGCATTTTTGTATGGTAGATATAACACAGTAGGAAATACAAATTAAATTTCTTGTCGAATTTGCTACGATACAATAGTTCAGAAGTGCGATTCGTATTTAATAAAAATATACTTTTTCTTCAAACTTGTTCTAATTGCTTGGCTATTCACGGCTGAACGACATGCTAATATTCATCAAACTTTAAAAGTTATATTAAAACATATGTTGATTGTTATATAATGATTGAGTTAATGTGAAGACTTAGCCCTAGCTGTACTGTTGGAATCTATTATTCGAAGTCAAATTACTAAAGTTTGTTACGAATTGTTGTGCCACTTACATAGTTACTCAGTTGATTAATATAATTTCAAATGGAACATTGGTGCACATGTGTGAGAGTTCTTATGTTGGGATGTGTAAAAGTCATATACATAAATTCTCTCAGAGCAAGAAATAAGCAATATCAATTTTAAACATATAAGACGATTAATTATGATGTAATGAATTTTGAAATATTTTATCGTCTTGTCATTTTGGATTTTTTATGTTGTTATAAGAGTAAAAAGTATTTAGTATTAGCAGAATGACATTTTTGATCAAACGCGTATGCGGATTGCTAATTTTTTTATTACGGTTTCAGTTTTTCATTTTAAACTGGTTTCACGAAAAAAAAAAACAATTCTGTTCAAGTTTCCCATTCTTAACCGGCGCGGAATACGCGATCTTAACCTGAAACTTTGCTTAGGTCGAGGTTGATTTGCGATGCGGTGTATCGGTTGAATACGGGACAGGGAAACATTCATTCAACAGTTTTAGAGATATGCAAGGATGATAAGTGGCTCGCTCTGCGCTCGATACTAATATTAAAACATATGATATCTTCTCAAAAGCGGCTTTTCGCTTTCACTTTACCAAAATTGTGACAATTTCAAATTGATTCATTGGATGGTTCTCGAGATATGCAATACTAAACAGATAGTATTTTCTCAATAGCGGCTTTTGCGAATTTGATGAAACTTGGCGCACATTGTTACTATGTTTTTCCAAAAATGTGACAAAAATTTCAAGTTGGTTCATTCAATAGTTTTCTAGATATGCGAGGTTGATGCGTGGCTGGATCCGCGCTCAATACTAACATTTAAACATATGGCATCTTGTTTTTAACTTCCCGTAGGGTAAGTTATTGTAATGGGCCGAAAATCGGAAATGAAAATTTTTACATTTCTCGACGTTTTGAAGGTTTCTGAACGTTTTGGCATACCTCAGAAAAAATGGATGTGTGTGTGTGTGTGTGTGTATGTATGTATGTGTGGATACAAATTTCCAGTCACGTTTTAGGGCGCACGGATCAACCGATTTGAATGGTTC